TAAACAGGAAATTTTGTTTCCTCTACACACGGCCAAAGTGGTCACAAATTAATTTGCTTCTGTTTGAAGCTGATGTCATTCTGCCAATGCCTAGTCTCCCTCAACAGAATTGTATCAGGTGAGTTAAAAACAAGAACAAGCAAGTCACAGTTATGACAGGCACCGAGGTGTGGGAGGCAAAGACAAATTAGATAGCACCTCATTAGGAGACCAGGAGTTGCACATGATCGGTTACTAAACGTGCCATTAGGGAATGCACCTATTGATTGGCTTAACTATGTGGAAGGCTTTGGATCTGTGTACTCTTGCAGCTCCCTGTTCTGTTACCCAGGCTAATCACCTGGCTGAAAGCAAAGTTAATTAATTTGTAATCACTGTGCCAGGTAGGAGAGGAGGGCCCCTTGAGAGCAACAGCTAATTGGTCTGGACAGACAGTACCTCTTTCTGATTGCTCTGCAGAGCTGTCTGTCATGTGGGCCCTGCCCTCTGCTGACTTTATCCCAGATATATAAGGGCTGGGTTGAGGCAAATAGTGGTGTTGCTGCATGGTGAGAGATTTTGGGTTTGGGTTGTGTGTGGTCTGCTCTGAGCTGTGAAGGTGTTTCTGTCTTTCCAGTTGCTTTTCTTGTTTTCTGGGGTAAGAATATTTCTTGTGAGGTCTATTTTGCTGTTCCATTTTTTAGAAGATATTGGTTGGGCTGTGCAGCAGAATCTGTATTAATAACTCTTAAGGGTGCAAGTTATCAGTTCTTCCTCTAATCTAAAAAGAGCTGATTTGTTCCTTGGGCTGGGAAAGAGGCTCCCTAGTAATTCCTTGGGTGAATTGCTGCTTTACCTAGGATAAGAGCAGGATCCTGGCTCAAGAAAAGAGCCTTGGTACCTAAAGGGGATAGTCTCCCTTGGTAGCCTTGCTCCCTGGGAAGAGGGAAAGCTGTTGCACTCAAGATGCAATACACACCTGGGCTCTGCCTACTTTCACATGGAAAACCTGTGTGAGAGGCAGGCTGTGCTTCAGCTTCTGGTGTGAGGTAACACCCTGGTTGCCTATGCTCATGCACTAGGCAGTGTTGGTTGAGGTTTCCCAAGAGTGCTGATGACTTGGTGGAGAGGGCAGGCAGGGCTGTGCTTGGAGAGAGGGGGGCCACCAGGAAACCCCGGTTGATCTAGAGAAGGGAGCTGAGGGGTTGGCTTTCCCTCTCCTCCTAGCTCTAGGAGTGGGGGCAGCAGGTAGCTCTTCCATCCTGGCTCTCTGGGCAGCAATGAGAAGAGGCTACCTTGTCTCATGTGCAGAGGCTGTGTTCCCCATCAGTGTGTCCCGGCCCTGCACCCCAGTGGGGTGTGCTGTTGCTCCTAGGTTTCCTACTATGCAGTGGACTCCTGAGCAACTTGCTGTGCTGGTGAGCAGGAGTAAAGGCCCAGGCAATAGTACTTGGCTTGGAAATGAGGTTTTGTCATCCCCGCCTTCAGTGCGGCTGGGCCAGGTCTGAGTGCTGGGGTGCAGTGGCTCTTGTGGTCCACTGTCTGACTGCTGGGCTGTCCTACCCTTAGCAGGCTGCATGCATAGGATAGCCCCCACTCCACTTCAAGGAAACTACTTGTACAAACAGCTATGTAGCTCCTGGAAATGCTGGGGGGAGGGCAGGGAAGCTGCAGTCTCTGGGGTACTAGAAGATATGCTGCCTGCTCAGCTCCTTGCTGCTTCCTCCTAGTTTTCAGTGACTCTATTCCCCTGCCATGGCCTCCAAGGACAGTGACCCCCAGGCTGCCATCTCTGAGCCCCAGGGGCAGGAGCAGCAGGTAGGTGCACCCTGCAGTGCCGGGGCTGCCTGGGGTGGGTGTGGTTCTGCTTGGGATTGGGGACCCTGCTGCAGAGCAGCCCAGCCTGGTGCTGGTGCCAGCTGCTGTGAGCCAGGAGTGGGGAGCAGGCCCACCCTTGGCAGGGAGTGGGCTCTGCTCAGCAAAGCTGAGGGACTGGATGAGTCCCCCTCAGCCCCAGAGCAGTCAAGGGCTGGCTTGGCCCACCCTGAGACCTCCTCTTCCTGTGGGGTGAATGTGTGTCAGTTTGAGCTTGACTGTGAGTAAGTCAATATGTATGTCTGAGGGCAGTTGTCCTATCTGGCCATGTGGAGAAGGAGGGTCCTGGAGGTCCAGTTGCTAAGGTAGCCATGAAAATGGAGTTGGTTGAGGGTAAATGGAGCTGAGCAGGAACTGGGGTGTGTAATCCTCCACAATGAGTCTGTGGCCAGCTTGTTACAAGGCTGGAGACTCAATGGCAGGACCAGTGAAGGCTGTGAATATTTTCCACAAGCCTTGGAGGCTGCAGTGGCAGGGGGCTGGCCAGCCCTGGTTCAGCTCTGCTTCCTGCTGCAAGGTTGGGAGGCAATGTCCACAATAATCCCTCTGCCCCATGGGAGCGAGGGCCCTTTCTGAAGCCCTGTGGCTCTGTGCCAGCTGTAGAGCCTCGGGAGGAGGCAGCCCTGAGGTTATTGGTGACAGAAGTCTTGGCAGCATCTTCAAGGAGGTGGACAGGCCCTCCTCTACCCAGCTCCTGTCATCTTCCCTATGTAGCCTTGTGCTTCCAATGCAGTAAAAACTCTCTCCCTCCCCTAGGTGCCTGCAGAGGCCAAGGACCTGCACACCGCTCCAGTGGCAGTGGCCAAGGATGCTGTCTGCAGCACAGCTGCTGGGTCCAAGGCTGCAGTGTCCAGCATGGTGGATGTAGCCGAAGCGGCTGTCCAGGAGGGTGTGGAGAAGACCAGATTGGCAGTGACCAGCAGCATGGATGCTGCAGCGGGCACGTCTGTTGGCCAGAAAGTTACAAGTGACCTGGACATGGTGCTGGGGAAGACAGGGCAGTGGGTGGACCACTACCTCCCCATGACGGCTGAGGAGCTGGGTGAGGAGACTGGTACCAGGGAGGGGGAGCTTGGCAGCTGGTAGCTCCATAACCAGGGCAATGGGCATCCTGCCCTTGTGGTCACTGAAGCTACTGACCTTCATGGTTTGAAAAGCCTTTCCCAGTCCTGTGGGATCTCACTTTGGCTGCTCCTGGCACACATGGGGGAACTGGAGGATGAGTGAGGGGCTGGATTGATTCCAGCCTGTTCTCCTTTGCTCCAGGAAGGGTACTGCTTCCAGCGGGCAGTGCTGCACAGCCAAGAAGCTGTGCAGGAAGTGGCGACCTTTGCTTTTTGCTATTTGAAGCAGTACAGTTGGGTTAGTGCAACACTAAGTGGCCACAAACACTGGACAGGGGTGTCCTGGTCCAGGTTGCCCCAGTTCCAGTTACACCATGGTGAGCAGAGCCTGGAGGCACTTGTGGTTCAGAGGCTGCTACCTGAGCGCCTCTGAGGGTCCCACAGGCGGGATGACACTATGCAAGCTCCTTTGTAGGGCTGGGTTGGAGTTGGATTGTTTTACTGGGGTGGAGGGGTCCTCAACACTTGGGGGCAGGGAGGCTGTGCCAGGCTTTGGAGGCATCCCCCTAACCCCAGCTTACACCCTCTCCTGCTCCCCCTAGTGCAAGGCACAGTCCTTTTTTTTTTTTTCTCCCCCCCCCCCCCCCCCTTGCCTGGGCTAATGCTTGAGTCTGCAGGTCCTGACTGGTCCCCACTGATGGGGTGGCTTCTCCTGCTCTCTTCCAGCTGCACTTGCTGCCTCTCTGCAAGGGGCAGAGCTGGCTCCACTGGAGCAGCAGAAGCAGCAGCAGAGCTACTATGTGCGCCTGGGCTCCCTCTCTACTAGCCTGCAGCAGCGAGCCTACCAGCACTCCCTGGGCAAGATGAGGAGTGCCAGGCAGAGTGCCCTGGAGGCCTTGGCCCAGCTGCAGCAAGCTGTGGACCTGGTAGGGCCTCCCTTCCTGCAGCACCCCTTCTTCCTCCCAGGGTTCAGGGTGTTGCAGGAGTTGGCTTGCAGGAGCTGGCCAGCCTGGATGTGTACCTGGACAAGAGTGCCAGCAGGGGCTGAGTGTGCAGGGTTTAGGTCCAAAAGGAACCTGATGGATGTGTGGTGTAGGGAGGGGACACCTGCACCATTTGGGCATGGGATCAAGTGGTCCCTCCTTCCCTAGCCCTTAGCTTGCCTGGGAACCTAAGTCTCCAGGGCCTGCTGCCTGGGGAGCACCTGCCTTCCAGTGAGGCCTGGTGGTATCTGTGCTCTAGTACCATTGGCTCCAGAAGGCATCTGTGGCGGCCTAAGTGGAGGAGGATGCTGGGGGGGTGTTGGCACTGTCCTGCCTTGTAACATCATCTTGTGTGCCCTAGATTGGCTCAGCCAAGCAGACTGGGGATCAGATGGTGCATGACAGCCAGGAGAAGCTGCAGCAGCTGTGGCTGGGGGGGGGCCCGGGGCAGCCCGGGAG